TGAGTGCAACACCAACAACATAAGAAGTTGAAAAGGGACTTTTGATCGGCTGAAACACAAACAATAAAAGTATGCCATAAACGTGCATGAATGAACAATTCGGTAACACGGAAACTAAATGCTCGCATGACAGTTAAAATCGTTTCGCAAATGTTGCCACTAAAGGTGGAGTGCCAAATAAATTACGCAAAAGTTCTTGACAAAAAGGCGGAATTCAGATGCGTACCCCAGTTGGTGACAGCGTCTCCGCGACAGTACGTTAAGTGTAGCTGCCGCGGCTTTTTCCGCCCTATCATTGCCAACCCGGAGTCAGTGAGATGTTGATACCGATCCAGCCGAATAATGCGCCAATTGTAGCGATCTGCGACAATGACGCTAAATTTACGACAGGTCCTTGCGAGAGAGGCGCGATCTGCATAGGGGAGTAGTCGCACAATGTTGTGCCACAGCTCAGTGGGAAGTCTAAGCCACTTCAAATCGGAAGTGGTGTCACTGTCACACGATATAAGGCCATCAGGAGGCTACAAGGACGGAGCAGACGAAAGGGTCTGATTAAAAATAAGAAATCTCGAAAATCAACATGACCAATGGATACGAGCAGGTGTAACGGATACGGAGATTACAAAGGGGGAGCTGATTAATCGAGAAGAGGACATTTGGGCGTTTGAACATATTTTAAATGAATAACATAAAGGTAATCTGCAAAAAAATGAAACTCACATAAACTTTGGCCGACGAAGGATCGAAGAAATCAGAAACCTTCGATTCTTGCTGCAAAGAGTTTCGTAAGGGATCCCCCGGGCTACTAATAGCAGCGGTTTCTGCAACGTTACCCAAAGAGCGTTGCCTCGACTTCCGCTGCCTTCCCAAAGAAACTGAATCCACTTGCCTAGAAGGCGAAGTGTGGGTAAGTATAAAAGCACGTTTTGGGCTTGATTTACACAGCACATGCACGGTGCTTCAAAGTAGATAACCTTAGCGAGTTTTGTGTATCAAAAGTCAGAGTTTAAGAAAAATTCAACTAGAGCCAGCTCTATTATGCCATAAACGCATAAAAATTCTAAAGACGAGTGTGGAGCAGCCATATTTTAGACTAACAGACTGCAAACGTTGGTCAAATGTTTTTTTTTTATTTTGCTAGTATAACGATAAAAGAGGTATCAAATAATTATTTAGAGGACAGTCCACTAAATCTTCTACGATTTTATGAGGTTTCCACCTGGAATCCAAAAACTAAAGCAATATATTGTAACTAGGACCTGCATAAAGTCAGGCGACCAAGGGAAATCATTGGAACAGATCAGATTCCCTTAAGCAAAATTGCTCAAAGAACTAAATAGATCAATTATTTATATAGCGTTTCATAGATGTTTCAAGTAAAATGATAACTAACGTATCACTCACCAAGGCTGTAAAGCACAACGATGAACAATCCGATCCGAGTGGTACCGTGCACTTTTTTTGTTCGATCTCCTGTTGCGAAAACCGCAGACCTGCCTTTGATTTTGACCTCGTCTTTTATTAAAGTCAGCAATATCGTGTGATTGATTATTTGCCAAAAAGCTACTTGACTGTTGTCCTAATGGAAATGCGAATGCCTGCGACATTGTACTACAGCCCATGAATAATTCCGAAAGTTGGCTAATACTCTGATTACCGGACTGCCCATTATGATAATAGAGAGGCAGCTCATTCGTACTTTGACATGACGCAAAAAATTTCGGGTTCATGCTAGAGAAATAAGGATAATTTGGCGAAAACTTTTCACAACTAGGCGAATCCGAAGAAAATGAACTGCAAGCAGAATTACCCTCCCAAGAGTGATCTTGAAAGTTTCGAGCGAAATTCGGAACAGCGTCACATGGACCGGAGACGCTTCGCTGACGAGAACAGCACCAAAAATTCTTCAGACATACGGGCTGACCACCAAAAATAAACTGCAAGGGATAGTTGACAATCTCCTCCGACGCATTTTTCAAAGGTTGCATGCGCGGCATTAGAGACGGATGACCCTTGTCTGCACCTAGTGAACTGGATGCAGCCTTCATCGAAACATATGATGGTGATTCCCTACTTAATGGAATCTTTTGCTCCAGAGGAAGAAGAGAAGGCTGATGCATTAAAGAACAGCATCCGCCACAGTCACATGGGGAGTAGGAGGATGTACAATTAAACTGTCGGAAATCTTGAGAGGCAAAGTAAGAAGGTAGAGACTCTTTACCGGGGAAAATACCACTGCTTACAAATAGGCACCCACAATTCGAACACCAACCCGAGTTCAAAGCATTGAGACGTCCGCAATCAGAGCATGTAATAATTACTGATGCATTTAAACCAGAAGACTGCATCACGCGGCACCATAAGACACGAGTCACACAATCTTTATAAATATCTGTCCTTAAGAGCAGGATATATAATAGCGAGTTCCGTCCCTGTGAAAAATGTACGAATTTACTCGGAGAAAGTACAGCAAAATAGTCCAACCTATTGACGAAACTGGGAAGTAAAGCTTTGTAGACAATTTCCGAACATAAATCATTAAAGCCAATCATCAAGCTGATTTCATTGGCCTTGTTAACGGAATCAACACATACAAACAAGACGTTATTTACTATACAAATTCGATTTAATTACCATAAGGTGCAGCAATAAGCCTTTATCATTAAGTTCTTTGAAAATTGTCTTTTACTTTCAAAATACTTACAATTGAGGCTTAATTAGCATTTAATTTTTAATTGATCATTATGACGTATCTACGCTAACAAACTCATATAGTCGTCCTATGTACTGCTTGGATTCTTAAATTACTTTACTATCACTTTTAAAAACGGTACCAATCAGCCCGAAACTATCAATCCGTCCTAACAATAGCACTCAAAGGTTTTGCAGTGTCCCCAATCAAACTCGCGTATACGTTTTGGAAATGGCGCTACGGATCTCCTTGCATACGAGGCCATGGCTGATGCCGTTTTCCTTGTTTACATCTGTTTTGGACCAGTGGCCCAAAGTCTAGTACTGCGAGAACGTTAATGGTCTACAGATGTATACGGCTCTGATTCCGGCTGTCAGACCGAACCCAACTTCACATCCAGTTGCGGGTGCTGAGGGGACCAAATACCGCTCGTGAGTCTCATGGTCGCTGATGATTGGCCTGTCTAGCTGGTGAGCGTCACCTTGCAGCACTGGATATGTTATGAGAGCTAGTGCGGGAGGTGTGCCAAGGAAAGCGTCGATAAAGTCTCTCAAAAGAAGAGAGCGAGAGTGCGCTACATTGTTTAGGCGACCACTTTATGTCTGGCGGTTACTTTGGTATTCGTTTTGCCCTAATACGCGTGAGCTTGCCCTTTAATCAAGTCCATCCTCGTCCATGCTTATTCTACTTAAATACATTTATTCAACCTAGTATGAAGTCTTGAGTTGCTACATTAAATTTAATGACTAATTCTATAACTTTGTCGATATTTGTGATTTGATATCGCATCTGCATCTATAGCGCCTTGTGACTTCTCACTATATAAATGAAGGCATTAAGCTAAGCTGAAATCAGAGTAAGAATGATTTAGATCATTGCTTGATCCTGGAGTCAGCGCTCGCGTGCAAGGGCAATGCAAATATCGAAGTTACCGGCAGAAATCAGGCCACATAAACACAGCATTACAGCAACAGTGAATCCGACAAGACCCTTGCTTGCACGTTGTTTTTTTATAACGCTTCTCACCTACATGGGCGCCTATAAATATTTTTTCGTGGATGAATTTATGTTTGTAGTGAGGTATACATATCATATCAATGTGAAATATGCCATTCTGCCTCATGGATTTCTGACGTATCCGCCGTTAATGGATTCGTGTGCAGCCATCACCTGCGTCCAAAAAGTCCGCACTTTCAAGCATGTATTACAGCATTATTGACACTCCAAAATACTGATATGAAATTAACGACAAGAATAGATAAAATGATAACCTTAGATGCGCATTAGCGCTCAAAGTGGTAATGATAATCCCAAGTGCTGGAGTGTTATGACGTATTTGCAAGAGCAGACGGCACATCCGTTGGATACGTGTATTCAAATAAAAAGTAGACTGAGATTGTGACATGATCTGAAGACCAGTCCACCTAAGGGGGCAAAACGGTGACTCAAGTGATCGCGATTGATAACAGTAGTCAAGACAGTGTCGAACTCATAAAATCACAATAAGCATGCATCATAACCACTTTGTCAAAACCTTAAGCTCGCTTTTGTATTTTAGCAAGCCTTCTTTCTCCGTTGAAGTCATGTCGTTTGTTAAGAACTGATTACTAGCAGACTATGAGCATAACCCCAGGAACCTCCCATTAAAGGCAAGAAAACCATGAATACCATAGGATTCTTGCACTCATATTCGCTGTTGTTGGTGGCCGCATCTATGCAACATCCATTTGTCCCAGTCTCTACTGCCTTCGGCCGGTGATCATACCTTTTACTCAGATTTTGATTTAATCACCTAACATTTAATAAATCACAAAGCAAAACCCGGGACTCACAAAAGTACTTTTCCTGTACATTTTTCCCTTGACGTCTCCACACATTTTTCATTGCCGGTCAAATATTAGTCCATTGGCCAACTAAGTTGAACCAAAGTGGAGCCCATCAGATCATTTCATTACTATTTTATTAGTAAAGTTTTCTAAGACCAAGAATGAGGAAACAACCCTTCCTGAAGGGTTATTAAAATAAGTGGATTGGTTACAATCTTCCTCCTCGTATTAAAAAATGGATGAACAGCGGAACCGCAATGAAAATAAATCGACATCTTTTAACTGCCCCATTAGTAAACGATGAAATCAGTTCGAACCCAATAAGTTTATGCTAAGGATTTTTGGAGTATCCAATCGCTAAAAAAAACAAGACTTCAAAGCAGATTTATGAAGAAACTTGCAAAGTTCAACCTAAAGAAGCGAAGTTAACAATAGTAATATGAATCGTAGTTTGATCAGTTCCACACGAAGAAAATTTGATGGGCAGTGCGATTAAAATTCAGCGCAAAATACTTCGGAGGTGGGATTGATGCCTCCTTTTGGATAATAGTGAAGCAGAAGCGCGTGTGGAGGTAGTTGCAATGGGCGTGAGATTATTCATCCAGATTCATTCCGCAACCCACATACTACGGTGAAATTTCAACTCGGAACGGACTTCCAGGAATGTGTTGATCCCCCCACATGATTGAAAGCCAGTATTGGCCGACTTCTTGCACCCTGTATGTCACTGAAAACCGGTTGCTTCCAGTGTGAACAATCTCAAAGCGTTCGCATGGATGCGACGGACCCATCATACCAGCCAAGAGCATTGCATTACCTAAGGTACGGACAACAAATATGCGTACCAAGTAAAGGAAAATATTTTCACTTCGTAAATTAAACATCGCACTTTGTCTGTAGTACGTCATTAACAAAAAGTAAGAACTGACCAGCTTTGCTAGCATCAACAAAGAATTGATTTTCCTTTCCGACAAAACCACGCTTAAGACCAAGGCCAGAGCAGTTAACATTTTGTGCGATTCCCTTTGAAATCACACTTGTTGCCTCATACGTACGACTACTCATTGTTTTCGTGGCCGTGTCGAGCACGATGGTCGTCGGTTCAATGTTGTTCTGCTGCATCATGTCTCCCATGGGAGATCCGGTTATCCGAGCCTAAAATGGCACAATCGCTATTAACAATACCAATGCATTCGGGCCCACTCGGTGCCAATTATAAAATAAGAGACAACTAGCTCCTCGACTGTTTCAGGAAGTATGAAGTGGGTTGCAAGAGTTCACCGACACTTACTGTAAAAGGCGAACCGAAGATATCAAAATTGCCTCCGTACTTGATGCTTATTTTGTAATCACCAGGCAAAGTGGGGATGTATGAAAACTCATAGCCATCAGGTCTTTCCTCACAGGTAATCTGAACCTTTGAGGGGCCATCAACCACAACGCTCAGCAGTCCCTTTCCGGCATTCGCAGTGTTTACGAAAAACTTGTTTTTCATACCTAAATGGTGGAGTATAAATAGATACGACCTTTGACCTTGAGCACATACAATGTGCTCAGCTCAAAGATGAACATGCAACAGGGAGAGGATTATTCCTAACTTAGTCTACCATAACCAATAGAAAAGCAAGTTGATTTCGAAGGAACACAATAAAGTAGCACATTACCAAAAACAACTGAACACAAATGAAAATGTTCAGAGTTTAGATTGTATGATGAAGACAATTTCCAAACACACGTTCAGGCGGAGTTACAGATGTGAAGTAGATAAGGCCAATGTTCGTGGGCAGTAAAGAAAAGTAACAATAAAAAGTTTAAGTTTACCAACAGAGCCGTGAGTGAGGCCGTCTCCGGTTGCGTAGACGGTGCTGGGATCGGCCATACTGTCACTGACGGCGATGTGAAAGGGAGAGCCATCGATTTCTTTCGCATGAGGGGCCCGATCACCCAAGTGGGCCTCGCTCTCGGGAACGAGATAGACGCGGACGAAGTGGGCGCCACTCTCGCGAGGTACAAAGCGCACCACATGCTGATCCCCGTCTAACTTGTGCACCGTGGCCCTTTCCACTGTCTTCGAGGGCGACTCCACTGTGGCCTCCAGTACGTGGTTCACGTCCAGGCAGTGAACTGTGAAGGCAACTGGGGTGCAGAGCTAAAACGGGTGTAGTGGAAGGCGTAAGTGTCTGAACGAAAATTCGACTGCAACACTCCTTCCAATCCACAAGTAACGTAAAACATGAAGCATACCTGATTGATTTCACGCTCGTGGCTAACTCTGTCACTGGTGGCGAACTGGATTGGTACCTCATAGGCCTCGCTGCGACCACCCTCTTTGGGGTCAGTTACGAATATATGGAAGGGTGAGAAGGGGATGTGTTCATCCGCGAATTTAATGGAACAAGTATACTCTCCTGGTCGACGTACTTTGTAGTAGACTGAACAAGAACCATCCTGATTGTCCTGGATAAGTAGCAACAAGAAATTTTGAACAAAGTGAGGTACTGCACTGCTGCGCTAGCAGCTTAGTGATCGTACAAAAAGTGATGACAATGAAAGGCAACGTTGGTAAAAGTGGATCACCTTGAAAGAAATCTCCGCCTTGCTTGGACCTTCAATGGCGATTGAGAGACCACCAGCACCCGCTTCGTGCGTATAGATTGAGAATTCGTTTGGCTCATTCACCTCACCATACTCCAAACCGCGACCAGAAACACGGACTTTGCTTGGTCCGCCTTCAGCTGGTTGTCCAATTGTAAACTGGAAAGGACTACCTGCAAGCGCACCAATTAAACAGTATCAATGGCTTAAATCATTTGAGGATTGTTCTAAGGTGTTCCATTAGGAAGGAAAAAGATGTAGATTTTTATTCATAACTCTTATTTAAAGAGGGTTCTTCAGGAGCAGATGGATGAGTTGTCATTAAGCATTACGAGTACACATCGCCACATGGTCGTATAAAATAAAATAGTGAACTAATCTCTTGCTTCTTGGCTAAAATCGCAAATAAAATGGGCATACCAGGAATGTGAACACCGCGGTTGAGAATGCTGACGGTGTGAATTCCTCGCTCTTGAGGGACAAAGTGAATGCTGACCTTTTCATCGTCGACCGGAACGATGTCACAGGGAATGCGCTTGCCGGACGGTGAATAAACTTCACCTGTGATTTCACGTATGTCACCTTGAAAGACAAAAAGTTTACCCAATTTACTCAGGAGGTTGCACAACTTGGATTCGTCGATAATGAAATATTTCGCACAATGAAAGAAGATGCAAGTAAAGGTTAGTTCAGAAAGACAAAAAAGCTCCTGTCATTGGCAAAACGCCCCTATGCCAATGAATGCACAAACTACCGAAACATCACAATGGCAACGCCATTACAAGCGACAGTGCAGGCATTAAGTGTAAATCGCACAAACCACTCAAATAAACATCCCGGCTGCTTGAAATGAAATCAACGAAAGACATTGCAGCACTGCACCACGTACTCGCAGGATACTATTTTCAAATCATGTGAATTGCTTCAACACAAATAATCAACTTTGCTAATAAAAAAACACAGATTTATTGAGGCTTATAACTTGCTTTTAATGAGTAACAGGTTGCGTATTTATTTAGCTTTCGTAAAATAGACACCCGCTTGCATTAATAAGATAAACAGGAAACCCAAGTACAAGTTTCCAACGAGGCTAAAAATATTCAATGCTTAAAGAGACATTACACCAATTTAATCAGATTAACACAGTTAGAGGCACTTAGTAAATAAATATGTCTATGTTAAGAATGAAGGTAGAAAAGCTGGGTCTGAGCATACCGGGGATGGGAATGGTGAGCGCACACTCACTGCCGACTTGCGTAGCCTCGAAAGCTTGGCGACTACGAACGATGCGCTGAACCATACGCTGCGAGGACTCACCGCCTACATGCACAGTGAAGGGACTGCCAGGGACGTGCTGATCAGCGTAACGCACATTCACCAAATATGTGCCTGGTTCCGTGGGGCAGTAAGCCACGGTGCACGTCCCATCGCTGTTGTCCGTGCATTCTATCTCTGCCTTGCTTGGTCCCTCTATTGACAAGCTCAGTGTGGCATAGCCTGCACACGGGGAGGGAATGCCATTAATAATTCAGTTAGCATTTGCAGACGTTAGGAAAACCTTTGTGTTGGGCAGCTAGAAAAACTCAATGAGGCACAATAAGTTATTTAAGCATCATGAGTTCAGAGAAAAGTAAAGGAGTGAAGAATCATCGAGGAGCAGATGGTCACTTAGTTATGTATAATTTCACTCAATGAACGCGACCAATGGTGGTGTAAACATTATCCTCTGGCGAAAATATACTAACCAGCATTTTTACTGTCAACAAGAAACTCGTTGCGTTGATTTGCCATCGGCTGAACTCCCTCAGGCCAAATAACGCGAACGCGAGTGGGATCGCCGACGTCTTCGCTGGACACGTTGACCCTGAAGGGACTCTTTGGAATGTGCTTTCCCGCCTTGAATACGTTCACCAGGTGTTCACCGGTCTCCTTCGGTGTAAATGAAATGCCTCAAAAAGGAAAAAGCGGTCGGCTGATCAAAGTGTTTCCCATAAGGAGAGCTTATTAACACGGTTGCGTTGTTTTCACTTAGTTCAAAATGGCAGGATGGGAAACCAGTCTCTTTAACATTATGTCAATATATGTATACATATATTCCCTTAATAATAAAATATTATTTGAGTCCATTAAATATGCAACGATTATCATCGAGCTTTCCTTCAAGAATCTGCACATCAGCCTTGTAATCTTATTCCTTACGTGAGGTCACAAAGCACGATAAATGTTTCCACGCCGTATATCAACCCACATAATCCGAAATGCAAGGCGTTGTAAACAGCTTAAGTGTGCTCAACATGAATGACTGACAACTACCAATTTTTCCAATCGGAGAGTGTTTCAAAAAGGAAAAACTTTTCCCAGTCCGAGGAGGTAAGCTTACATGTAATTAAGAGGAAATGAGGCCGAATGATTCAAGCAAGAAAATATGCATTACCCATTCGATTGTTCGGCAGTTTCTTCAGCACACAAGGCTCCTCATGGCCGGAAGGACTTGTCACAGTAGCAGTGAGGATGGAAATGTCATCGATTCCGGCTTCAAACGAGACACAATTCATGGAGCTCATGTTCATTTGAGTTCGTTTCTTTGCCTCGCCTGGTAAAGCAAAAGGACGAAACAATAACTGACGTTGCTGTTAGTTACTTAAGCGAGTTGCCATAATTTTGGCAGTTGGTGAAAAACTAAACTAACCAGTAATCTTTGCCACATAGGGAGATCCGGAGATAGGCTTGTCCATAAACTTGAGGTTAATTGTGTACTCTCCTGGGACCATGGGATAATAAGTGACGCGACAAGCCCCATCCCCGCTTTCGGTGCAGGACATCTCCACTTTTGATGGACCCTCCACCGAAACAGACAGACCTCCTGACAGAAAACAAAACACCGCTAACACTGCATGAGCTACTTTGATTTCCTGGATGGGACCATGCTTTATTTAGGCTTCAAGTATACCAAGAATGGGAATGTCTATGCCTAGCGATGATAAGCACACGTATAACCTTAATCTGTTTTGATTGCCGGAAAATTATTGAAGTCTAAGCAGTAAAGTCATGCAAAATTTTTTTTAAATAATGAAGCCAAGTTCGATCAGTCGGCAAGTGGTGTGGCTCGGCATGCGGCGTTACTTACGCGGTTCTTTGGCATTTGTAGCCACTAGTAAAATGTTCAACATGAGCTTATGAGTAAATGTCCATCAGAATACGGCGGGTAGACACTAATTACCCTTTATAACTCCTCAAAATTATCCAAACAGACTAAAATACAGATGAAAATGGGTGCTTTTGCCAAACATTCAAAACTGGTAACGTTCCAACTAAATTAATCATAAATAAACAAGGCGATTATTCCTATCTCATCGATAAAGTTACCTGTCACTTGTCACAACATATTTCTGGGTACTTCTCAGAACACCAAGATGCATGAGTGAATGATTTACTACCCCTCTGAAACCCCTTGTTTTGAATTAGATATAGACAGTGTAACGCACCAGCACCAGCGTTCTTCATGTCAACAGTGAATTCAGCCGGCTGCCCAGTTATGCCATGGCTGAGGCCAGGCCCGTACGCCGTAACGTTACCACTTGCAGCATTGTCCACAAAGAACTTGAAAGGGCTGCCCTTCAATGGCATACGAAGATCAGAGCCACTGGCCACCGTGGTCACGTGCAACTCGTGCATTCCACGTTCCTTGGGATGATACTTAACTGTCATAATACCATCCTTATCCTCCTTGGTCTCGACTTGATCGTTTACCCCTGAGGGTCTTACGACAACGGCTGAAGGAAGACAGCGTTAGAGAGAGTAATGTCCGCAATCTTTTCTGAGTTAAAAGCATAACTGAGACTTGTCTTAAGAAATTCAACGCTTTTAAGGATCCATTTTAGGCAAACAACTATACCCTGAAGTGAATGATCGTCTTTCCCTGACACAACCAGGCGAAAATCAACAGGAGCGTAGTAAGCTTCAATCGGTGCCTAAAATGCAGAGGAAAGATGTAAGCTTAGCAAACTAACCCATGTAAATGAATGAGTAAGTTAAAATGATGTAGCACGAACCATTGGCACTTCAAGTTCCTCCGCTGGAACAGCCTACAAGGAAAGAGGAAGACAAGTGGAGCGCCACTCAGGTGAAAGCGAGATAACGTAAAAAATCGAAACAGAGTTAAACTACACAAGAGAGGTGGAGCTCACTTCTTGGGTGTACTTTCCGTTGGGAATAAGTTGACCGCCGTATCGCAGTTCTACCTGCACCGGACCTGTCTCCTTGGGAAGGAAGTAGGCCGTTGAAGTGCCATCATCGTTAGCTTCTACCTCCACGGGCAAGTCGACGGACTTTCCACCAGATATCTGCGTGGCGCGGCACATGAGGTTACCTGGGCCAGCTTTGCTCGTGTCCACGGTCACACTTGTCTCATCTCCCACAGCAATGCGTGGCTTAACATCGCCTGTTGAGGTCAAGTCGGTAGATATTTTATGTCGCAGGGAGTTATGTCAATTCTCTCTATCTTCAAGAAGATGCACGACGACAGAATAACAAGTATGTCTGAACGCATCAAGATTCCCAACCTGACTAAAATAAGGAGCGTTTCACAAAGCAGCATTAATTTACGACACCCTGATCCTACTTATGACTTATTGTCGATTGCACAGAATGGCTCCCTGATAACTGTGATCACCAAGTTCTCAATCCAGTGCTAAGGCCATCAAACCGTTCATCAAAGATAAGTCTAAAATCTACTTTGTTACAGTTGTTATTTAGCTTTTAACCAATCACCTATATTAACCACTCCCAAACTCATAATGAGAACTTATGAAAAAGTAGTGCGTTAGTCAAAAGCACGTCAGAAAATTACACCAGTTCTGATGGAAATGAGTACTGAGGTAAACTGCGTTTCACAGAAGGTTTGATATTCTTGGTAAGGACTTAAAGAGGATTCAAGATGAAAAGTTGGGTAACTTTCGTTCTCCATGAAAATGTCGTAAGGAATGGAGATCTATTTTGCACTTTCCATGAAAGGTCTTAACGCTAGCCCCAAAGTTGTAGGGTGAGGTGAGAGAGGATGTACAAGTAAGTAGCTGTAGTGAGTAAAGGAATAGCTTATTATGATCGACGAAAATTTGGCCACTTCCTTACTTTTGATTGGATTATCATGACAGTAGTCAATAACACATTGATGACTTGCATACTAAGCGGCGTCAAAACAAGCCAAGAATCCACACCATACAGCACACTCACCCTTTCTCTTGCGCCCTGTGATGAAGACCTTGACTCAAGTGCGCTTAGTGTGATAAACACTTGAAATGCAATTACACCGTAAACATACACAAGCAAGAGGTAGTAGATTGATTAGCTCACCGCACCAACCAACGGGTCATGTGCTGCACAAGTGTGATCACCTATCAATTAAGCAACTGATGCGTTTAAGTGAGAAAATCCAACTATATTCTTCCCTTGTGAACTGGACTAAAATTACGCAAGTAATATGATCTAGAATGAAGAATTCGGCATCCATACGTCTTTGTGAATCTGGAAAGCTTGGTCGTAAATAACCAGAAATGATGAACCAGATGATGCAACCCCGAATAAGGGTCACTTTTTAAGTGAATGATTTCTCCAAATTTGATTTTTATAAGCCTAGAGTGCTTATTCATTTCTGTTTATGTAACATTACGCTCATCGTAACCATAACAAAGGTTTAGTAAACATCATCTATAAGGCTTAAACATATACATAAGAAGGCTCAAAATGATTAAATGACCATCTCTCCTTATAATGGCTGTTCATTTAAGCCCTTCTAGGATAATCTGCTCGACAATGCACAAAATGCTCACCTGTTGACAGTAGTTGAAGCAGTCAAAAGACTATGTCACATTCAAGACAAAAGGGGATTAGAGATGAAATGCAGTTACCTCACATCTCCCACACACAATAAAAACGGTATGATCTGCAATTATGCCTCCATGTTCAGAGGAACGCAAATTTAACGAAAAACAAATTTTAACGCTATCGAAGTAGAGATTAATCCACCGCGATACGATGGCAGAATAGCTTCTATGGAAGGAAGCGCTGCTTAACTAGCCTGAATTTAATTTTATTGCTGAATAGAAGATTCGGTAGCTCACCCTTAATTTCACAGAGATCAGCTCGTCCCACGCGTAAGGATTCAAAGACGAAGGGACTTTCGGGAATCTCGGTGCCAGCGTACATGACGTGGATTTTGTGTTCACCCACGATGAAAGGCTCATAGGTGCAAGCCAAGAGGCCCGAGTCGGAGCCTGATATGATGTCGCCGGACTGGGGCATACGCTTTTGCATGGGTGCTGTATTCACCTGCTCCAACTCCTCTTGGGTGATTGGAACCACGCTAATCGGCAGACTGTGCCCCACGGGATCCTATAACACCCCAATGATGTTCTTGATTTACCTTATTCCTGCTTCTCTTTCTCCAAGAAGTATATGCACGAAAATAATTGCGATAAGCAGTACTATCACAGTTCCCAACGAAACCCATAGTTGTTTTCATTGTAAGCTAGGCACAATTTTTGCAAGACGAATCACCTCTTTACCACTATTATGTATGATAGTGACTTCTAATGTTAAGGGAGGCCTAAAACACATCAACTTCACTGTGCAATCATTGTCACAGTGTTTTACGTTGCGCTCTACAGAGACAAGTTGTCTATTTCCAGGATATTTCATGAATTGCGCAAGACAGTACAGATTCTGCTCATTAGTTGAAAATCCCAAATCGATGTAAAATTTGATAAAAATGACGTCAAGATTTAAAATTATAAACAACTCATAAATCCTTCGCGTTTCTCTATGTTAGGTACCAAACTGAATGAGCCCAAAACATGATATTTTACGAGCAGTGCAGACATATTCAAGACGCCTATAGAGCTGTATCGATGATGAAGGTAAAGGCCGATGTGGCTTCTTCAAAAGGATTTATTCTGAAAAAAAGTCACTTTTACTTCAAACCAAAGTCACGTGCAATCAGCAAGTGGCCGAAAGAAACAATAAAATAATGAACGACGAACCATGACATCGAGTTTGAGATCACCAAGACCAGCGTCAGTGGCATCAACAGTGAAGGTGGAAGGTAAGCTGGCCTGCACAGGACCACGAATGCCGGCACCGGCAAGGCGCACCTTCTCAGGCTCTGTGGTAGGCCGAACGGGAATGATAAAGGGCGAGCCAATGATTGGTTTCCCCTCGCATGTCACCTCCACTTGGCAAGGCCCCACCGCCTGAGGCACATATGTGCACTCATATAGGCCCGGCTGACCCGCAACCGGATTCACCGCCGCTGGAACTGGCGCCGCTCCTGGGGTCGGAGTGAATGTTGCCTAAGCAACGATAAAGGAGGCATGGAAGAGGACAAAAAGTGGTTTAGCGCTGGTTACGTCAGTCCTACCTCTTCTGCATTAAATTCTCCCTACATTACTCCCATTCAAATAGACATTGTAGAGACGAATGCTGAGGATTTTTGAGGAATAGTGTAAGAAGTGGGGTTTGAGGAAAGCATGGTCACTAGTCCCGATAAGTTAAGTTAAGTTATTTTGACCACTAGTATTTCTCTATTTATTAAACCTGTTTTACCAGCTCTCAAATATTGAGTCATTAAGTAGTGAAACCGCACACACTTCAAAGGGTTTGTACATACACCTGCACCGCCTTGAGATGATACATGTCGGTACATGTGCGTGCATATGAAATAGCATTAAGATCATTTTGAGTTCCACATGGGACACGTCACCTCTGTGCTCAAATTTATTTAACACTGCACCGAAAATTGTGACGCAGTTCTTCTTCGCCAGTTTTCTCTTGCCAATAACAATAACATACTTAAACATACCCGCTTATCTGGACAAAATCTCAAGAAAAGTGTCATGCATACTGATGGCGGGAAGACTCAAGCATTTAAAGGGCTTAAAAAAATTATTCCCATTGTACAGGTTTCGTGTTTATTTGCGCCAAGAGATTCAGCAATCAAAGCGCCTAATTTTGCGCATTACTAAATAGCACATTAGCAACGTTTTGCCCAGTTTTCAGGAGTGTAACTTCCAGACCCAAGTATGACTAACACAGCCAAATTCAACCCCGTTTCAAGACAGAGTGCGCAAAAGTTTTGGCAGAGTTGTGCTAAAAGCAAGCACAAAAATACCTCTATCGGAGCATTGTTGGCCAGACTTGTGTCAGCAACGAACGTCGCCGGAACGGAGGCGCGAACTTTGTTCGGTTCCAGTCCATGGCCGTAACAACGCACCTTACTGACATCCGCGTTACCTTGGATTCTCACATGAAACGGACTCACTGAGTTTGAAAAAAACATGAAAGCAAATTTCATTGAATTGAATGAAACACTACAACTAAGAAATCCGGCATTCTAGCTTAGGAATGGATGCAAACATCGAAGCTAAATTCGTTGCATTTCGTGGATTTAAATGCAACCTTTGATAAAGGATCACTTTCTGTTGCAGCCATTTCACCTTCGCAGATTGTGAGAGCCTCTGGGTCATGCCATTAGACCTCAAGTCCTATCGTATGCTTAATAATGTACATGCTATCCTAAAACTATGCCTTACTTCGTCTCCCGATAAATCTCGAGGAGCCACGCTATACTCATAACAACTACAATATTATGGTTGGCGATTTGTAAGGGGTTAGCTTGACGGCATAGGTAGATGCATGATAATGAGATTGAGTAACGGAGCAGAAAGGCAAGTCAAGGCGCTGAATTAATGAAGGGGGCAGATGGCAGAAGACACCTATGGTGCATGATGCATTTGGCAGGACCCATGAGCCGGTGTGTACGTACACAACGCCCTCGCGTGCACCCACTCACGGGTGACGAATGTGGCGCCGTGATTCACTGAGGCCCGGAATCGACCCACCATCGTGTGCAGCATGCAATTCATTTGTGTGGAACCAATTTGCTCCTGTGTCTGCGCACGCTCAGAGAGGCTGACATATGCATGAGCGCACACAGAGCCTTCATTATCAATGCAACGCATGTCAGTCTCAAAGAAGCAATGCGGTCAAAGCATAAGGGAAGAGTCAACGTTCTACCCAAATTCAACGCCTAAGGTTGCTCAGAAAAACATTTTAGGCACGATCTTACTTAAAAAGGGGAATGCCATGACTCTTAATCAATTTGGTTAAAGTGAAATTCTTTAAACAGTCCGCATTGTGGTACTACAGGCAAAATGGGGCCGATTAATAAAGGATATGGCTTTGGTGATGTAACGACTTCCCTTCTATCAAGTTACTTAAACGCGGTAATCTTTTTTCACACCTTTATTAAGCCTTTTTGATACAGAGATTAAGACTGAGATTCTGGAACTAGTTTTATGATTTAATTTTCGACTTACGCATCTGAGCCATCACTCAAGCACCTGAACAGGTACGACACAAACACATAGGAATTTCCATAAAGACAAAACAACTACATTATCGAAGAACGTACTTGGGATTTCAACCCCACCAAATTTCAGATGAATGTCATAAGTACCGGCCATGGTGGGTGTGTATTCTACAGTACAGGTGCCGTCCTTGTTGTCAATGCAATTGATCGCAGCGTCAGCAGGACCCTCAATCGAGAGTCCGAGGCCTCCCTTTCCAGCACCGCTCATGTCGACAGTGAATTCGGTCTTCAGATTAGGCATTAGATGGGGACCCGAGGGTTCCAAGCCCGGACCGTAGGCTCGGACGCGTGACGCATCAAATCCTGCCGAGACGTCCACTAAGAAGGGACTGCCGGGAATCTGCACCCCTCCATAGGTAACTTCAATCGCGTGAGGCCCTTTGGGATTTTGCAGAGGGTCAAGTGAATGGTGTAAGAAATTTTGAACAAAATAGCCAATCGGTGCATGAAATGATGATATCCGCCAAATTTGTTACATAACTTTGTAAAACTTTCCAAAGACGAAATTTGATGAAATGAAGTAGTTCCCTTGTTTTCGAAAATGGATAGCACGAAAGTCTGGCTAATAACCAAATAAAATGCGTGTGTTTACCCTCCATTGTAGCTGAATAAGTTACTAGGTAAGTTCCATCGTGCCGATTGACAACATTTGAAGCAGAGCGTCGTCCATCAGGGTCCTTGATGATAGCTGAAACGAGCTCCTGTCCGACTGTATCAATTTCCCTCGCATCAACAATGAACTTTAGGAGGCAGTCTTTGAAAACACCTAAAATGGTAAGTATAATTAGTGAAACTAACGGAAACAAGAGTAGGTTCGCATGCAA